CTACCAGTAATAATTTGGTAAAGCACACCAACATTTAAAGTCATAAAGCTATGGTGTACCACAGGGCTCAGTATTTGGACCCATATTATTCATTGCTATCACTTAAATTATTTTGGAAATTCAACTGCACTTGCATTATATTTGATGTTCAAAATGTAAAACGAAGAAAATAAAGTAGGTGCATCTCAAAATACTTAATAGACTCCCATAAACATAACTTTCTTCACAATTTTGCTATCACTAACAATCCTAAATTTCCATCCTTTTTCACTAGAAGCCCAAATTCCTGGTAATCGTGGCAAAAATTCCTCACTTCTCGTTCTGGTGCACTAAAGGGGGATTAACTTGAGCAATAAACATATAAAGAGGGCTTGGTCTTGTTTAAGTGTCTGGATGAACGTAGGATTAAAGAGCACATCTGGAAGCCATTATGTTTCTGCAATATCAGTCAAAGCAGCTACAGACCCCAGATCACTGACTGACTTGTCACACAGATGTTGAAAGAAAAAGCAAAACTAGAAAGTAATTATAGATCCCTTTACTCAACTCATTTAAAATAAGCCCACCTCTCTGAAGAATGCACGACTGTGATTGTACAGCATCGAAACAGTGCTCGTTATAACAGTGGAAGCATTTGTAATAGCTGTTGTGATTGAGAATAGTATTAGTATTTTGGAGTGTGTTTACAGTTGCACAATCACAGCGTGAAAACTGGGAACTAAACCAGAACTGAAGAATTTTGAACAAGACTTAAAGGTTATATATTACACTAAATGGATTCCTGTGAGCTTGAGCCATGTTATATTTGAGTTCTTCAAAAACATACCCACAGTTGTGTTTTATTTCATTTGTTTGAGTAATCCTTTAGTACAGGGGTGTCCAAACTTTTATCATCAAGGGCCACATATCTAAACACACGAAGCAGAGGGCTGATGGAAGGCCATGTAGACTGGTACTCAATACAGTGAATAATTGAAATATGTGCATGTTTAACAAGTTACAATGAGCCATCAGTCTTTATTCATGCTAAGATCCTTAAAACGATACACTAAATATTAAATATTAGCTTTATCAATGTAGAATTTCAAAAAACTTGCAGTTATCTCCAAAGCTCAATATGCTCTGTTCCACCTTGTGATGTCATGTAGTCGTACTTTTCAAGTTAACAGCTGCCTTTTACATTTTGTTCAGTAGAGATAGGAAATTCCAGGGCTGAAATTATCCAAGTCTAGTGAAGGTAAATTATCCAAATCTAGTGAAGGTGTATGGAGTTTAAGAACTTCCTGTATTAGCACATGACATCACCAAGTTGAACAGAGTGTAAACACTCTATAATTGAAAATAATAATAATATGCAGGATTTGTGTGTTAAACATGTGTGAATGAAACAAAACACAACTCCAAGTATATTTGTGATATGGAAACAACATTATAGAACAGAAAATACTGCAATATAGACCCTTTAAATGGCTACAGTAACAATAATGCAAAATTTGAAAATGCCAGAGGAAGTAATAATATTTAGTGTTATCTGTGGGGGTCGTTTTACCAGGTTAAATCCACTGTTGCACTGATAAAGTAAAGTTGTATAAATTATGTTAAAAAACATTAAAAAAATAAAATGTATTTATCTAGAAACAAAGTTACTATTTACCTTCATTCACTTTAGAATTTACTACTACACTGTTGTTGAACTAAATCTTTGTTTTGTTTTGCTTGCATGCTCTCTCACCACATTACCCTATCTTATCAACCTATCTTAACTATCTCTATTCTAACCCAAACAAAAGTAGCATCAGGACCCACCCCTCTTTGTTGAGTCACGATAGCCCTCCGTATCTTTTCCTCATAGACAGACAGACAGTGATTCATTCTAGTCCCACTCACCTGACTGCCTCCTCTGTCAGCACTTATCTCATTTACCTGACCTAAAACCATAATAACAGTCACAGTTGTGGCCCCTCATGCCTTTGTATTCAATCACACAGAGGATTAGTGTGCGTATATGTATAGGTCATGTCCATTGAGAGAAGCTAAGAGACCACCTTTTGTTGTAATAGGTGTCTGTACTGTGTGATGTCATCCCCTTATAGTGCAAAGCTGGGCCTACAGACACAAAACAGAACGCTATGTACCCTGAATGTTAGACAAATATATAATCTAAATATCCCAAAATTACTTTCATAGTTTTCAGCTATTGATTTTAAGGACCTACATTACTAAAAATTGACTCTTGTGAACTTTTAGCCATGTTATAATGTTGTATGTCATCAAAAACATACCTGAAGGTGAGTTTTGTTTCATTCACACACGTTTAAATAATCATTTACTTTTAGTTTGTTTACATCTCCAAAGCTCAAATGCTCTGTTCCAACTTATGATGTCATGTAGTTGTAGTTTTCAAGTTAACAGCTACCTTTTAGTTATACCTGCTGCGTGCTCTGTATCTAATTATATGCATTGTCTGATAATCAGGAAGTGCACATTAACATGCTAGTTGTTTTTTGCTTTACCATGACAGCAAAACTGCCTCTGAAAGTTGTGAAAAGTGCTTATAAACTTATCACTTTGAATAATTAAGAGTGAGGAATAACTTTGGACTACTGCAAACAGTTAAAATGAACTAGTTCTGTTTTAGACATGTTTCTAACTGTAAAAATCAGGTACATAATTTTTCACTGCTCATATATTCTTTTGCGTGTCAATCACTCATCTATTAGACTTGATAGTAAACTCCTTCTGAAGTCTACCATGTCCAAATACCACAGTTATTTAATACCATTTCATATTGTAAAATGAATGACGTCTATGTCTCTTCAGTGTCTCAAAATACACTGGCTACATTTGGAGAAAGCGCCTCATGTATAGAAATAGAAAACCATCTCATTAGACCAGAGCACTGACTTCATTCTATTTTTTTACAGTAATGGATTCTTAGTATGCTCCCTTATGTAATATATAGCTCTACTGAAGAATTACGCTGTACACTGCAGGCTATAGTGTAACAAAACTGCTGACATGATTGATTTAACGTGATTCTGCTGTGAACCATAACACTGGTGGTGTGAACCTCACCACCAGACAATCATACTGAATTTGAGTCTAAATATCTAGAAAGGATATACGACAGTTATTAGATTTACAGACTTAGTATTTATTTCAGTAGCGGGACCTCTCTCGTGGCCTCCCCTCTTCTCTGTTACTTATTCCTATATTTCAGGTATGTGAGGATTCAAAGCCTGACTCCCACTTGCCTCATAGGAAGTCCACAACTGGCTTTTGTATATGAGCTTTTTGAGCTACAACGATCATCATTTTCATTATTAATAAAGTCATATTTTATATTGAAATAGTCATAGCCTAAGTTCAGACTACAGCCTGAAGTGACCCAAATCAGATTTTTTCACCCCCATTCAACCTGTATCTGATATTTTAATGACACAGATCCAATTTTTTCAAATGGAACCCAGGCCATTTGGATATGTGCTCTTAAAACCAATACATATCCAATCTTTTGACAGGTGACTTCAGTCTGAACAGCCAGGTCGCATTCATCCCACCTACACGTCATCAACAAATCTACACAAATGTTCTTCTCATCATACAATTGCGTATGAACTCCTTGTCAGTGAAGCAGCGAAGCACATCGCAATCCCACCACTCTTTGCTGCGACTCTGCACCTACACGTTCCATTCTTCAGAAGTTGCTGCCTCTGCCCCATAAAACCTTGTCCTTCTCCTTCTCAATCTCCACCTTAAAACAAATAAGATGTACATGTTCCGCCTCTGGTACAACAGCAACTTTAAAATCCCCAGGTGCTCAATGCTAGCATCCATGTTTAGGCTACTTGCATAAACACTGAGCACGCTCGCTGTGTGTGATGTCGTCGTGCCCTCCAATGCACATGCGGGACACTTTTGGGGCATATAAAGTTCATGCTGGAGATCACTTACAAGTCGCATTTAATTGGAAATGTGGATGACCTTGCAAAAAAAATCTGATTTCACAAAAAAAAAAAATCCGAATTGAGCATTAAGCCCTGCAGTCTGAACGTACCTTGTGTCATTCAGATTTAACATATCTTAGGACCACTCACACTCTACCACTCAACATTTTAAGAAAGCTTGGAACTCAGATAATTTGAAGTCAGTGTCAATGTGAGTTTAGAATTACTTAAATTTGCATTAAAAAGTTCTTCACATGATAATTTGGGCCAATTCAACTGAAGGCCTGAGAGCCGACAAAAATTGCTCTTTGGGCTGCGTTTGGCTAGCCTGATTCATCAGCCACTTTCACTTTGTTTCACTTCGTCGAAACCGTCTGACCTCGCAGAGTTAGAATTTGTTTGCTTGACTGTAGGCAGGTACTTTTCATCATTTAACAATCGCTGCTATTTGGTAGTCACATATGCAATGTGCCGCTAAAGGGGGTTAACTGGTATACTAAGCTTTTCCCAAATCCCATAGGAAGAGGGGCAATAACGTCTTTCCCCTTGATGAAATTTACCAAACATTCTCTTTATTGTGGCTTTAAATCGTTGACAACACTGAATATATGGCTCTTCGCTGATTGGTTGGTGCCTGAACTTGCACTTGCACCATCTATTGTATTTTGATTCCTGACCTAGTTGCTGGAGAGAAATGAAATTGAGCGAAAGCACTAGGTGGCGCCCGCCTGGCTAGCGTTTGGCCCCCGAGCCATAGTTTTGGACACCCCCTAATCTATCTATCAATAACACCCATCTGAAAACACCGTAAACAGTCTCACATCTTCCTAAAGTACTGGAGTATTTTGTATTCTGTATCACAGGCAAACGGACCCCACCAACTTAGGACTGAACAATCTATAAAAAATCACCAAAGCCTTGTGGGAGTCTGGAAAGCCACTATACAGTATATCCAAGAAATGATCAAATTAAACCTTGAAACTTTGGCTCTAATTTGAACTTGTTGAGAGATAATTGCACTAACACACTTTGATTTCAGTTCAAACCACTCACCTTTAGTCTCACACCTGCGTCCTTGAGGTGCTTCCCGTCTCGTCTCGTTCGGTGTTGCTAGGTGAATGGTTGTATGGTGAGTTTTTGCTCTGGGACATGGGGCCTGTATCTGCCTGACTTTGCACTCTGCTCATGCGTATGACTCACGGTTCAGATATTCACTGCAGTGGTCCTGTTCACAAACAAAATCACACACAGTTTCATACACACACTTGATATATACACACACGCACACACACTTTTTATATACAGCTCAGAGCTATGACGAATCCGGGCTTCCACCATCATGAGCTCATTGAAAAACAGCTGCCATTTTCTCCGAGGTCATTTGAGGGGGAATGCCTTGTGTCTGTCCAACTGTCTGACAGGCCTCTGGTTCAGTCTAAACTCCATATTAGCCTTGTAAGTCTATTAAGGTTCATTCTAATTCATCTTCAAAGAGACACGCAATGAAAATTAAGCATGCTTTTACAGAGTTAATATGAAATTTGTGAAGAAAAGTCTCTAACAAAAACTCTGCCATTCAAATACCATTCAACAAATAGGATTATAAATGTTTAAAGCCACAGTATGTAGTAAATAGTATAACTTAAATGAAAAATGAATGTACATAAATGCGTGTTTTTTTGTCCTGTTTTTATTGCACTCGAAAACAAGACTGTGAGTGGACTTGCATCTCCACAAACCTGAGTCTTATTTGTCCTGGAGGAGAGCTTCCTGCATGTTTCCACCAAAATGTTGTTACTTTAGCTACAATTTTCTGTACAGGTCATTTGCAACCACCACAAAGTTCTACATAAATAAAATTTTGCTGCTTACCTTATATTTTTCTTTCAAAGTACACTGACATTTTAACATTCAACTAAAGGATGAGGGGATCATGAATTTTATGTTGAGATGAGAGGTTAAGCAGTACCATCTTGATTAGGGATGTAACAGTAACTGAAATATCATGATATTGTATCGTCAAAGTTCTCACAATAATATCATGGACCATCACAATATATCGAATTACAAGTCTTTTTGCTTAAATGAAGAATTATGGTTCAGCAATAGCGAAAAAAAAGAGGGAAGTACATAAAAAACATGGTCTATGTCATAGACCATGATCCTTTGCTCCGTTTCAGTGCAGACTACATGAAGAAATAACAGTTCTAAGCACTTTTAAGTCTTAATTCTTTGGATTAAGTCTTGTCAAGACATTTTAAGAGGAAAAAGTAGCATATTAAAAGTTTTGTTAGCCTTCACAAAATATCATGATAAATACCGTGAGATGTATATCATGAAAATATTGTACAGAGAGATATGGATATTGTTACATCCCTAATCTTGAGCTTTCCCACAATATTGTAATAAATATTGTACTGTGAGGTTCCTGAAGTGATGATATTGTATTGTGAGACTTAGATATTGTTACACCCATCATCTTGATAAAATGACTTAAACTCCACAGACAGGCCAAGTGAACTGCTTTCACAACTGTCTGGCTTGGTTGTAATATTTCATTAATTCGTTTGGCTTTGGCTCTCATGTGGAGTATGCCCTCCACTGTAAGAAAATCATTTATTTTGATTGTAGCCTTCAAACTCTAAATGGCAAGAATTCACAATCTCACTCTTTTTCATCCTAATCTTTATTGCCAAAAGCTTCTTAGGCCTCAGCTGGTGCTCATCTGACCGGAGGAGAGGGCAGACACAAACAAAAACAGCTAAAAGTCTGTGTCATGCTGTGCGTGAATCAAACAATAATAACTCTGTCTGATTTCCAGTGGGGCGCTCGTGGGAGGGGAGGAAATCATAGTAAAGGTTCATTTATTTCATTCAGAACACAATACAAACAAACATAGTCATTATGTTTTGCACAGTACCATGTTATAATGTTGTTTCCTCATCACAAACATACTTTTTTTTGCTTTGTTCATTCATGTTTAACACACAAATCCTGCATATTAAATCTGTGGTCTTCTCTCAAATAGAAAACACTGTATTCCACCTAGTGATGTCATGTGGTAATGCAGGAAGCACTCCACTATGTTTTTAAAATCCATACACTTTCACTAGAATAATTTGGATGATTTCAGCCGTAGAATTGCCAATCTCTACTGAACAAAAGATGAAAGGTAGCTGTTAACCTGAAAACTACCACTAAATGACATCACAAGGTGGGACAGAGCATTTTGGATATATACAGATGGTGTAATAGTAAAGGGTTACTCAAACATGTGTGAATGAAACAAAACATGATTCCAGGTTAACCATGTAATCTCCTTCTTGTATCCATAATGTCTTTCCAAGTCAGACTTAAACTTTATTGATCCACAAGGAAAATGATTTGGACACAGTTGCTCACACATCACATAATAATAGGTGTCAAATAAGACATAATTATAAAAATATATATGTACAAGTCAAAATAAAATAGAAAATAAGCAATGAAATATAAAATCTCAGCTTAATACAAGAGGTCATAAGGAAAACAGTGCAATAATGATATGAGTGAGTCAAAATCGAAGTCAAAATCAAAGTCAAAATCAAACTGTGCTTTTTTTGCATTTGCTTTTCCCCAGGGGTTTCCAAAAACACATGTACTTAAGTCATCCTTTTGCTGTAAACCATGTACACAGAGACCGGAGCATCAAAAAGCCTGTTGGTGCTCATCTCATTGTGGTGAGGAGCAAATGACAGAGGAAGACTGGTTAAGAAGAGACACTCAGCTCCAGGAAGAAGGCACAACTAAACACAAGGATGCACGTTTTCAAAGCCAAAAGGTCTATGACTGTGGGAGAAAATGTTCAATCTGAAATCAAGTAAGACATATGAAATACAGAGTCACTTCCTACACAATATATCACAAAAGTATCAATACTGCCTTGCAATATTGACTGACAACATACTCAATATAACATAATAACACTCCATCTGACAAAAATGCATTGTTTTAAATCCAAAATTAGCCTGTGTGTCTCTGTGAAGTTTTTATTTTGACTTTCATTAGTAAATTTAAGCATGTAATTTTAATGTAATGCTTTATTATACATAAAATTATTGAGTGAAAAAATATATTAAAGAAGACCTATTGTACTTGGGTTTGCTATATACCTGTAATCTATGACACCCATGGATCATTCTGTTAAAATGTGCACATTTTAAATTACAATATTCATCTAAAACAACTCCAGTGGATAGCACGCAGCCAAAAACCAGCAAAATGGATACGCAACACTGCCGAATCCTACATGGATCACCGATTAAGAAATAAAAATTGGAGTGGGCTTGAAAAAGAGTGATTAAAGATTGCTCAAACACTCTAAATACAACTTCGAGAGGGTGAATAGTGAAGGGAAATAACTATAACATGGTAAAAAGTTCTAAAAAGTCAATTTTGCATTATAGGTAGAAGGAAAAATTATATTATAGGAAGAAGAAAAAAACATATATAAGTCGCACCGAACTATAAGTCGCACTTTTTGGGGAAATGTATTTTATAAAATCAGAGACCAGGAATCGATATTTCATTAAGAAAGGCAAGTTCTAGTAATAACAACAGAATAGAGAACAACAGGCTGAATAGGCGTTAATATATTAACGTAACATATTAACAGTTATTCAGATAATTATAGCATCAACAACATAACATAAGTTTACCAAACTCACACTCTCACTCCAAATCACTAAATCCACTGAATTCTTCATCCTCGGTGTCACTTCTGCGTGACCTCTGGAGATAAACCATAGATCCATGAGGTAAATGGAGCACCGCTTCCTCCTCTGTGTCAGCATCAATTCCAGCCTTCCTGAATCCCGACAGGATGGTTTCGGTGTCACTGAAGTTCAGGCTTTGTCGATTCATCCAGTGACTTCCAGGAGAGTTGCATGATGCATTCGCCCGGTTGCCGTGAAGCTGTGTTCTCCATCCCTGCTTTCCACCAATTCCTCACAAGTTTCTCGCTCACGCCAAACTTTCTCTCTGCTCCTCGATTATCGTTTTCAGCTGCATATTTCACTATTTGCAGCAAGACAGTGGCTTTTTCTACAGGAGGCATGCGCAGTAGAATGTGAAGTGACAGTGGTACAGGAGTAATAGATACTGACACACAAGCCTAGAGTGCCCTCTCGCGGCTGTCAGTGTAAAAATTTTAATATATAAGTCGCAGGACCACCCAAACAATGAAAAAAAGCGCGATTTATAGTCCAAAAAATATGGTAGACTTAATCTGAGTTTTATTTCAGCACATATGATCAAAAAGTATGTTTGTTTGAGGCCAGTTAGGGCATAGTGCAATTTTACCTACACTTTTAGATCATGAAGCAATTGTTACCTCCGCCAAGGAGGTTATGTTTTTGCCGGCGTTTGTCTGTTTGTTTGTCTTTTAGCAACATAACTCAAACAGTTATGGACCGATTTTGATGAAATTTTCAGGATTTGTTGGAAATGTGAAAAGGAAGAACTGATTTCATTTTGGAGGTGATCCGGAAGAAATCCTGGATTCTGGATCACTTTGAAATTTTAGTTAACATTGTGGTAAATGGGGCCAAAAATTTTGTTTCTCAATATCTCGGTTAATTATTGACCAAACCCCATGAAATTTTACTCAGGGATGGACAATGAGATCCTCTTTCATATTCCACAGGCTGATCCGGATCTGATCCAGAAGACTGATTTTATCGCAATTTATATAAAAAATGGGGGTAGTCCTTGGCGGAGGTCTGCGCTCTCTGAGTGCTTTTCTAGTTTAATAGTATATAGGATAAGACAGGATAGAATAGAATGCTGTCTATTTCCTTTGTGCCCAAAATGATATCAGATCTTATCTTCACCTTAAGATAAGTTCACTCTCTTGCAGTATATTTTTTTTAGTTTGTTTTGATTATTTTTCAAAACGTAGCCTTGAGAATATGGTCCATAAAAGCAAAGTGATTCACGTAAAATCCCCTTTGCCTCATGTTCACAAATCATTTTCTGTCTAACTCCCCAAACGCCTCCTCTTTGTGTTCTTTTTCTGCCGATACCTGAGCCCACTCCTCCCCTGAAAAACTCCACAGTGGGACAGTCCTATAATACAATGACAAATCCTGGAGTTTTGTATGGTTCAGAAAGAATAGGGAAACATAATGAATCTATTGTGTTCAATCTCTTTCATCTCATGCAAAGTGAAAGCATTGTGGAATTGTTTGCTGTATTGTTAAATTGAATACATCATTTAATAATGATAATACATTCTGTGATGGTTTACACTGCACTTTCATTCTCTCTTCATAATGTTAAAGGACCCATATTACCTGGATTTTTCTTTTGTTTCATACATTTTTAAACTCCATACATAGGAAAATTTTCTTCATTATTTGTCTCCAAAACCAAAATTAAAAAATGGATAACGATTCATTTTTTTTTCAGTTTTTGTGTTTAAATGAATAATGGAAAAACAGATAATGACCATTTCTCGTTTCCTTGACTTAAACGGCAATACCGGACTTTTGAGTCGCATACAGACTGATCCCAGGACTGAACCAGGACTAAAACAGGTCTAAACCAGGTCTAAATCAGGACTAAACCAGGACTGAACCAGGACTCAGTGTCGGGACGGGCCCAGAGGTACACCCGTGCAGACTCTTAAGTAATCAGGACTGAGACTGGGACCAGACTGGGACTGAAGACCAGGACTGAGACCGGACCATACCAGGACTGAAAGTGGAACTGAACAGGACTAAAACAGACCTAAAACAGGACTAAACCAGGACTAAACCAGGACTGAACCAGGACTGAGTGTCGGGACAGGCCCGGAGGTGCACCCGCGTAGACTCTGAAGTGATCAGGACTGAGATCGAGACCAGACCAGGACTGAGCCTGGGATTGAGACCAGGACTGAACCAGGACTAAAACAGGACTGAAACAAGTCTAAACCAGGTCTAAACCAGGACTAAACCAGGACTGAACCAGGACTGAGTGTTGGGACAGGCCCGGAGGTGCACTAGCATAAACTGTCGGGTGGTCAGAACTGAGACCGGGACCAGACTGGGACCAGCACAGAGACCGTGACCAGACCAGGACTGAGACCAGGACTGAGACCAGGAATGATACAAGGACTGAGACGGGGACCAGACCAGGACTGAGACCAGGACTGAGATCAGTTTAGTCCTGGTTTAGCTCTGATTTAGTTCTGATTCAGTGCTGGTTCAGTTCTGGTTTAGACCTGGTTTAGTCCTGTTTTATAGAAGGTCCATGTTTTTGAGAAAGTAACAACATTTTAACATAGCTCTTTGCAGCCACAAGTGCCAAAGATGTGATCACACACCATACTACAATGGATTAAGTGTCCAATGGAACTTCTATTGTGTGCAGTGGATGGGGCTCGGGTCAAACCACCTACCATATTATTTGTAGGAAAACACTATAACATTGTTTTATATTTAAGTACATCCCATACAATACAGCACCATGGGTTTTGTGTACTATCATATGTCACTTCTGGCACAGGTGACACATGAACACACAAAAACATGAAAACACCCCCCTTGAAATAGGCCAATCATAAAGCATTTTTCTCCTGTTTTTTGTCCCATTGTTTAGTGTGAAAACTTCCCAGGCTCACTATAATCACATCACAAACTCCATTTAACAATGCAATGATAAGATGGCCACACAAAGTTATAGATTTGGTTACATGTTGCGTGGGAGGATTTAACATTGTGTATGGACAATGCATACAAACTACAGGACTATATATAGGAGCCACACTACATACAAGCTGCACATGTGATCACTACTGGCATTGATCAAAATTGTTCAAAGGTAAGAAACTATATTTAAACTACATTCATTTTAGTTAGAAATCCAGTTAATGTTAATGTTTTTAATTTTTGCATTCTTGTGCTACTTCAGATGGTGTTTCGAGGCATTATACTCTTTTTGGTGCTGGGGATGTCTTTGGCCTATCCTCAAGGTAAAACGACACCAAGAATTTTGCATAACTGTTAAAAAATATGGGAATATGGCATTTGGAGTTCACTTTTGAATTTGAAAGAATTTAAAGATCTGTATGTTGTTACCTCCTCAAAAACATACTAGGAGTTGTGTTTTGTTTCAATCAAACATGTTTGACTAAGTCTGTCTACATCTCCAAAGATCAAAATGCTCTCTTCTCCCATGTGATGTCATGAAGTGGACGTTTTTAAGTTAACAGCTACCTTTTATCATTAGTTCAGTAGAGATCTGCAATTCTAACTAAAACTAAACTAAACTGCAACTAAAATTATCCAAGTGATTCTAGTGAAGTTGTGTGGGGTTTAAAAACACAGTGGAGCACTTCCTGTATTACCACATGACATCACAAGGTGGAACGGTGTTTTTTGAGAAAAGAACACAGCTTAAATATGCATGATTTTTGTACTGAAACAAAACAACTGGGTATGTTTGTGATTAGGAAACATTATAGCAGACCAGAAAATAACGCAATATGGGCTCTTCAAACATAAGACGTCTAGTTCTAGTAAACAATTATGGTTACATCAATGCAGTGTTTTCTGACACTTTCAGTAATAGATTCATTATGCCTTGACTGAATAAAACAGTTTGTCTTGTTTTTTTGTTTGTGTTTGTGAAGATTTGTCGGGAAAGATGTTCACGTTCCCTTTAGAGACCAGCTGGGCTCATGTGAGAATAACCACATCCAGACAGCACCTGGCAGCGACCACTGTCTGCTTCAGGTCAGTCAGTTCACAAATTTAAAACCAGAACTGATTTGGGACCCCCACAGTGAAGCAAAACAGACAGTGCTGTATCATGTTAAAAGGCAATGTGACAAATTCAGTCAAATGTTCTTTATTTGAATAGTTCTTTCAGTGTTATAAATTTCACTAAAAGATACTGTTTTCAGTAAAGTAATATATACATTGTCAGTTGTTTTGAAGAGGAGTTGTTTTTTGTTTCATTCACACATGTTTGAGTAAACCTTTATGATTAGTCTGTCTACATCTTCAAAGTTCAAAATGCTCTGTTCCACCTTGTGATGAAATGGTAGTTTTAAAGTTAACAGCTTCTTTTACTTTTAGTTAGGCAATCCCAAGGCTGAACCCATCCAACTGATTCTAGTGAAAGTGTATGAAGTTTAAAAACACAGTGGAGCACTTCCTGTTTTACCACATGACATCACAAGGTGGAACAAAGCCTAAATATGGAGGATTTGTGTGTTAAACATGTGTGAATAAAACAAGACACAACTCTGGGTAAGTTTTTGATGAGGAAACAACGTTATACCTTATAAAAGACAGAGGCGGCACTACCATTAGGCAAAAGTAGGCGGCTGCTTAGGGCCCCCAAATCTGGAGGGGCCCCCAGCCAGTTGCTCAGTGCCACTAATGGCCGAGGCCTCAGAGCAATTAGATTTTCTCTTAATATGACATTAAATGGTAGTTTACTTTTAAACAATAATCATAAGAAAAATAATAATAATCATATGTAATGGATGTAAACAAAAATGTAATTGTACTAGCAAAAAATTATAATATGACAAGTTTCCAATCCACCATAATTCAAATAAATAGAGATGTGCATGTCTCAAGAACAACAGAGAAAAACAGATTATAAATATATTAAAAGAACAAAACAAAACAAAACAAAAAAAGGTGCATTATAGTAAGGGCCCCAAACTCAAGTTCACCTAGGGCCCCCAAATTGCTAACTCCTCCACTGATAAAACAACATTATAACTTATAACACAGATCAGAAAATGGTGTAATAGAGACCCTTTATTGGCATTTTCTTTACCAGCACTTTTTGGAAACTGTCTTTTTTAAAGTGGATTGGGCAGGATAATAAGTATACCTGTTTTTCTACAGATATTTCACAGACCTCACCAAAGAGTTCGGCATGTTCTCGATGGCCACGTCCTCTCACCAGAACAGCTTCACTATCTTCAAAAAGGCGCGTACAGACCATTTCCAGGTGTTTGTGAGGGATGCCCTTGCTGAGTATTACGGGCAAGAATACAAGATTAACACATGGCAGTCTCTTTGCTCCACCTGGGACTCCAGCACCGGTCTCACCCAACTCTGGCTCAACGGAATCCCCTCCGCCAGGAAGTTCATCACTACTTCAGAGATTAATGGACCCATCATTATCGTACTGGGCCAGGTAACATATAGCACAAGTGTAATATATTAAGTTGTAGCCAGATTATGGTGTTTTCAGGAAAATTTGTGCAAAAATGGTCAAATCTTATCTAACTCCACAAAATCTGCATTCAATTTCAGTTAAAGGTCCTATATTACCCAGACTGGACCCTTGTGAGCTTTAAAACATGTTATAATGTTCATTCACTCATGTTTGAGTAACCCTTTATTATTAATCTGTCTACATCTGCGAAGCTCAAAATGCTCTGTTACACCTTGTGATGTCATGAAGCGGTAGTTTTCAAGTGAACAACTACATTTTAATTTTTGTTCAGTAGCGATTGGAAATTCCGGGGCTTAAATTATCCAGATGACTCTAGGTGTGTGGTGTTTGAAATCACGATGGAGTACTTTTTGTATTATGGAATGACCTAAGAAGTTTTCTGTTTGTAAAAAGAACACCACCTAAATACATACATGTGTCTTAAAATTGTGGTTGTGAATGAAACAAAACGCAACTCAAACTATCAAATAAATAATTAGTGTGCGTTGTCCTTGTATTCCAGGAGCAAGACAGTCATGGAGGAGGATTTGACATAAAACAGTCTTTTGTGGGGATGACAGCTGACCTGCACATGTGGGACTACGCTCTGTCTCCAGTTCAGATTCTCAACTACAGCCACAATATCACTGTTCCTGAGGGCAACCTCCTCAGATGGGGGTCCCTGGAGTTTCAGAAGACCAGCAGAGTTGAGATCGAAGATGCAATGTTTTAGTTCATCCTGAAATAAAGGCTTGATGTAATCATTTTTAATCAGAGATGAGTAGTATAGTCAAACATTGTACACAGGTGAGAGTTTTGTTACTTCAAGACTATTTCATCAACTAAGTACAAATTACTGGTCCCAGATTTTACTTTGAGGATACTATTATTCAGGTAGGAGTAACTGTAAAAGTAACTGTCTGGATGGACGGACATTCAGTACTGCACACGATATGGCATTTGGACCACAAAAATGAACTAAATCATATTTGAAGAAACAGTGCAAGGAATAGGGGGGAAAAAATAAAAGTTGGAGTAAAAGTATGGTTATTAAAAAGCATTCAAATACATAACAAATTATGAAAAAGTTACTAAAGTAAATGTAACTGTGAGTTCTTTCAACCTAAGCTTTTTGAATACCTCAATATTTATTCTTTTATTTTGTTTTAAAATCATGTTCAAATGTGAATTAATAACTCTGATTTCTTCTCTACTTCTTGTACATGTTTGTATGTCATTCAGGCTAATCAATAAACTTTAATAAAATGAAGAAAATACACAACTATGCTCCAATGTGCAACCCAATTCACTTTAAAGCAGTTAATGACATTTTTTTTTCTTTTAATTTAACTTTCTTTTCATAATGTAAGGTAAACATGTGAAATCTCGTGGGCATATGAATGGAAAATAATTGAGGGGCTTGGTGAGAGCAGAGGAAGCAGCAGAGATAAGGCAGAGGAACAGAGCGGGGGATGGTCCTAAAATGGACACAAGCCAAGTCTCACCAACTTCCTGTGTGTTCATATCAGTACAATACACAGACCAGGCTGTTACTATTAAATATAATGTTTAAATATTACATTACTGTACTTACTTTTTTCAAGCAGGGTCATGTTGAACTAGATCCTTTCACTCATGGATTAGGGTGCTACTATTTACATTTGGATCACCATCTTTTGACCACACATTTTTGAAGAAATAAACACACCAGAGTAGTATGTTTTGTGTGTGTGTGTGTGTGTAATATAAGACATGGTGGGGAAATAAACAACTCAATTTACAACAATATAGTGAAGAGTTTCTATCTGCATCTATTAAAGCTCCAAGTTTGTGGAAGTGTTTTTCTATGTATTTCAATGCAGTAAGACCATCCAAAAATCGATTAAATATTCTACTTTTTTTGATTAAAAGTTACGTGGTGGGGCTTTGAAAAGACATTAATGAGTTCCATATTCACACAACTATTATAAAACCTTTGCATACTTTGTTTATTTTTAGTCTTCCTTTTAATTGCAACGGTATTACTGATTATTGCCCCTTCTCTACTTCTGACTTCTGAGTGTTTCAAGGTTATTTTTTTTTTTTTAAGTAACCAAATTGCCAAACCAAACCAAATTTAGGACAATGACCAGTTTCATAAAGTTTGTCATGTCTGGACAAATGCAAAAGCTCAGTGACACCACGTCCTTCATTCACCATTCGCAAGTTAACTTATGTGAAAAGCAGCTGTTTGTCATTGGGAAAATATGAATTAAAATGTTTATTCCAGTGGAACCATTCTGTTTAGATCTGAGTTAAGTTAATGTGTGTGCAGCGGAAATAACTTGACTTTGTTTATGAGGGAAACAGGGAAAGAGAGAGGATGAGAGAAAGAGTGAGAGAAAGAGAGAGGATGAGAGAAAGAGAGAGTGAGGGATTGAGAGAGAGTGAGAGAGAGAGAGAGAGAGAGAGAGAGAGAGGAAGAGATTGAGAGAGAATTAGTGAGAGAGAGTGAGCGAGAGAGAGAGAGTGAGAAAGAGAGAGAGAGTGAGAGAAGGAGATTGAGAGACTGCGTGAAAGAGAGTGAGAGAGAGAGAGAGAGAGAGCGCAAGTGATTGCGTGAGAGAGAGTGAGTGAGTGAGAGAGAGAGCGAGAGAGAGAGAATGAGTGAGCGAAAGAGAGAGTGAGGGAGAGATTGAGTGAGAGAGAGAGAGTAAAAATAGAAAGAGAGGGAGAGAGAAAGACTGAATACAAAAAGGAAGAAAGAGAGACAAGTCATAGAGATACAAAGTAGAGCTATGCAAGCAAGCAAGAGGAGAGCAAGGGGGAGAGGAAATCAGAGGGAGAGAGAGGAAGAGAGAGAGAGACGTGGAGGATAGAGAGAGAGCGCAGTGGATAAAGAGGGAGTGATATGGAGAGGAAAAGAGACATGGAAAGCAACGCTTGTAAAGAATGAGAGAGCGTGAGTTAGTGAAACAGAAAGAGGGAAGGAGAGAGAAAAACAGAGAGAGAGAATGAGAGAGTAAAAGTAGATAGCACTAGCTGGTATAAGGCAGAGGGAGGAGAGGTTCTGATTATAAGACAGATAGACGGTGAAACATGACAAATGACTGCAGCATCTGTTTTCTTTGATGTAAAAAATGGTCCTTCTGCCCAGAAACCCAAGAAGACTAATTAAATCTTTATCTCTTGTGAGTAATGAGCCACTGGAACATACAGACACAGGCAGAGGCTTGGAGAGGACGCTTTCCTGATGCTATCATGGGGAACTAACTGGGTGTGAACAAGTGTATTTAAAACACTTTTATAGCAGCTGTTTTGTTCCATTGGAGGTTTTTGGCCAAGTCTCAAACTCACATTACTGGTACTGTACTGTACGTAACAAATATTTAAAAATTGAATATTATTTTAATAATATGAATACGATCATAAACAATAAACTTTTGTGCCCTTGTTAACATTATTATTAGTTTGTGTGACCATAAACAGATAAAGAGGAAAAAAAATAAAAATAAATCCTTACATTCTTCATTCTCATTTATGCTTAATTTGATATGACCATAATACAAGAAAAAAGATGAAATTGGGTTAAAATTATATTTAGTATGCATAGTATGTAAGCTACTTCCTGCTTCTGAAGAGTGTGGACGCTATCCTTGCTTGCTCCTGCTGTTTTTGCTTTTTAATCAGTTTACCTCCTCCAACAACGGATAATGTGTCTATTTTTGATTTCCTTTTAAGTAAATACTTTTAAACAATTTTTACATTTTTTAACAAATCATCTGATGAGCCAGCAACATGTCGGGGAGAAGAAACCAAGGGAATTTTTTAAACTATGTAATAAATAGGGGTGGATTAATATACCTTTTTTTTCTTCTTGCACTCTGTAATAGCCCAGATAGCAACCTTAGCAGTGGAAGAGGAACAGAGTCAAGTTGAGACAATTTTAGTGCAGACCCCAGTGCATTTATTTCCACAACCAAGAAGAAAATTGGAAAAATATTTTTTAAAACAAAAGTTAAAAACATGCATGGCAAAACCTGCACTCACACACAGCACCTTCCTCTTGACAAAGGTGAGGCTGGCTCCTTTTATAGGCCACGTCCTCTAATTGGGTGAGCTCATCTCCAAGTACAGGTAAGTTCAGACAATTTCCATTCAATATTAAAAAAGTGAATCATATCAAAAACAGTGCTCCAAATATTCACTTACATCAAAATACAAAAATACATCTCTTTATTAAATTAGAAGTGTGTTGTTATTAATTTAAAACACTAAGTAGAAAAGTTAAAATATCTGTGCTCCCCTCCTCCTAACAAAATGGTGGCCTGCCCCGGAACCTTCTTTAGATGCTTTGGCTGCCCAGGGACTCTTTTAGCCGAAACACCTGGCAGATAACACAAGAGGATAAGTACCATTCATTTTAACCACAATTACGTAAATTAAATGCACTTATTTTTTTTTTACAGGTCACTTCACTGCAAAGGCACTTGAATTATCAGTAAACATCCTTAAAACTTTGACAAATATTAATACTTTGCAGCGACATCACATTGGGGGTATTCTACATGGATCTCTGTTAACAAACACAGACAAAAAAGTTTTAAGATCGTCTGAAAGTTCAAGAAAAATAAATGGATTCATACAATACATTTTAAGGAGCCTGTGATCAATACGAGCGTTCATAGTTTTGTTATTTTGATAAAAAAAACTGAGACCGTTACCATAGCAGTTAACAGTTAACACAAAATACTCAATGTTTGAAGGGCAAAAGTCCTCAAAATGGCAGCTATAACAGCAGATGAAACCCATGAATACGAGAGACAGTGACTCTGGAAGACAATGAGTGTTAGTGTTGGAGTTGGCTAATATAAAACTTTCCTCTCTGGTAGATTGAGTGTGACAGCAGCCCACAAATCACAGCCAAATTTAAATGCCAAAACTACATTCGAGAAAAGGATTAGGGACAAAATTACATGGAAAATCCAAGTTAGAAGTTTGATGCATGCAATACAAATATTTCATACTTGTATTTTTGAGATTCCACAATTTGTATCAAGAGATTACAGAAGGAAAAATTAAAGGTGAGATCTTCCTCTTGAATTATGTATGTGCAGGGTAACCACGTGTCCCCATATCTAAGCCTATTCAAAGCCACTGTACCATTAATAAGACTTTGGGCTTTTATTTTAGGTCCCTTTCGTTACAGTGCGACGTCACTGACTTTCCATACATTTGCAGCAAAAAGCTCAGCTCATGATCATTTGCACCAGTTCAACATGAGGGTCACATTTGGCTACCCAGGCTGGCTCCACCTTCATTTCTCTCCAACGACTAGGTCAGGAATCGGAATACACTAGGTTTGCAAGAACCCCAGAAGTTGTAAACCGCGCACCGGCCAATCCTCAAAGAGCTGTGAAGCCATGACGTCAAACTCAAGTGCCTGTCTGGGTCCCTTTTGTAATACAGCACAACAGTAAACAAAGCGGTCGAGATGTAGATGCGATGTAGAGGGTGTAGATGAAGCCATATATTCCGTGTTGGCAACGATTACCGAGATCAAGGAATTAAAGATGAAACAAAGAGAAAGTCTGATGAATTTTATCAAGGGGAAAGACATTATTGCCCTTCTTCTGGTTAGCAGTGCATTACATACGTCACAACCAAATAGCAATGATTGGTTAAATAAAAAAGTACCAGCCTACTGTCGAACGAACAAATCCTAATGCTGCGAGGTCAGACAGTTTCCACGTAGTGAAACCGACAGATGAATCAGGCTAACATTTGGCACCTGGACCATAGTTTGGACACCCGTGTTCCAACCTCTTAATTAAGTTACTAAGCCTGAAACCATCTTAATAAACCAAAAACAAAAAAAGTCTACCGGCCAATTTTGTTTATATTTCTTATCATGTTTTTTGGCAGAACAAGCAATTATTTAATTTGAGATGTCAACGGTATTGCATGGCCCAAAAAGTAATACAAAAAAGCTTGCATGAATTCATGTTAAAAAGTGTCTTGCTAGTTACTA